CTCAAATTGATTTGATTTTGACGCAATATTTACACTGAAGCTCGCAGTGGTAAGGGGCATGTCATTTCCCGACCAGGCGCCGGGTGGTGCCAATCATGAGAGCCTGTTCTAGTACACCCCCAAAACAAAATCAAGACTTTGTAAAAGAGCATAATAGGACCCCTTTAAGCCCCATTCACACTAGCAGCGACTTTTGTTGCATGTTGCTAAGGGCTGGCGATGAGGTTGCTAGTGGGCGTTCTCAATACTGGTTGCCTTGACAGTGAATCAGGTTTCTTGCCGCTAAGTACAAACATTTTGGAGGCAAAAGACTAAATATAATCTAAATCTAAATTAAATCCGTACATACAAACAAAAATGAATGAGAAACAGCCTACTTTCTTCCATTGCGTATGTTTATCTACGACGCTGAGAGGAGAACGATCACATGAGCTCTACCGTCTTCTTTCCTATTGGCTGTCGCTCCCGAAAGTCGCTCCTCATTTGAATAAAGTTGAAGGATTCTGAACTTTGTCGCATCGCTGGACACGCCCCATCCGGTCGCCAACGGCCGCTGTCGCTCGTGTCGCCGGAAATCGCCAGCTCTCCATTGAAATGAATGGGATTGTGTCACTTTGCTGTTGCGCGTCGCTTGTAGTGTGAACGGCCGCCAGCGACTTTTTCGCTGCTTGTCGCTTGTGGCTGGCAATTGAGGTCGCTAGTGGGCGTTCCCACTACTGTTTGCCTAGTTACCCCCGTAACACTCCACTACAGCAGATGAATCACGTGCTCTCCACCGACTTCACTCCCATTGGTTGTCGCTCGCGAAATTCGCTGCTTATTTGCATAAAGTTGAAGAATTCTGAACTTTTGTCGCTTGACTCGCATCGCTTGACGCCCACATTCCGTCGTCAACGGTCACTTTCGCTCGTGTCGCCAGCTCTCCATTGAAAATGAATGGGATTTGTCGCTCTGTCGCTGTGTGTCGCTGGCGGTGTGAACGGGGCTTAAAGGTGTGTTCCATTAGACCGCAAGTTTGCTGCGAAGTGGACTTCACATCTTTAGTGAGATTCCAATCTGAAGGGAGTGAACATGTTCAGTTCGAAGAGCACTGCAAACGGATGAAGGAATAAGGGAACATTGGAGAGGGAAATGTACCCACCACATCACATCACTCCAGCACTTGAAGTTTAAATAAAGCCGGTGAAAAGGAGTCAAGACTCTGGCATTACTATTGAGTCATACATCATAATTACAGTTAAATAAGAGATTAAATATAACCAAATATGTTAAACGTCACGCTTACTTTAAAATATGACATTAAATTAATAAATGCATATTTATATAAATACGCATAAATGTATTATATGGATATGTATTTTACACAAACCTATGGTCATTTATATTCATTTATAGTCATCTTAACTCAAACTCCTCTAAAATGTAAGACTCAAGTATAAAAGCACTGTTGGCTCAGAGCCAAGGTTTAATAAATCCACAAGTGAACATAATAAATCAGCATATTAGAATGATTTCTGAAGGATCATGTGACACTGAAGACTGAAGTAATTGCTGCTGAATATGTAGCGTTTCCATGACAGAAATATATAGCATTTCAAAATATATTAAAAAGGTTAAATTCTAATAATATTTAAAAACTTTATTTTTTACAAATTGTTGTGGCCTAATGGTTAGAGAGTCGGACTCGTAGCCCAAAGGTTACGGGTTCAAGTCTCAGGTCCGGCAGGGATTGTAGGGGGGGGGAGTGAATGTACAGCACTCTCCCACCTTCAATACCACGACTGAGGTGCCCTTGAGCAAGGCACCGAACCCCCAACTGTTCCCCGGGCGCCGCAGCAAAAATGGCTGCCCACTGCTCCGGGTGTGTGTTCACGGTGTGTGTGTGTTCACTGCTGTGTGTGTGCACTTAGGATGGGTTAAACGCAGAGCACTAATTCCGAGTATGGGTCACCATACATGTCACGTCACTTTAAGATTTTTTGCACCAGACCTGATTTTACTATGATTTTTTCAAATAAAATTTTCCCCCTTGAGGTCCCCCATGTTGAGGTTTCTTAAACAATTAAATAGGGCATTTTTCCTTCTAAAACTTACAGTATGATTTCATATTACATCAAATGTCAATTTTTTTCTCCCTGATATGATTAATTGTAATGTGTATGAGGGGTAAGAAACAACATAAAATCTAATTACCATGAATCATTTCCGCTCTTTCCAGAGGGTGAAGACAACTTCGACCAAGACGTAGATGATGACATCCTCTCCTCCCCACCCTCGTCTTCTGTGGCCAAACCGTCTGAGCCCCGCGCTGCCATGCCTCCACCCTCCATTCTCGCTACACATATCTCCATACAACACAAACCCACCACACCACCCAATCAACTCCAGCCCACAGTGGTCACCCCTCAAGCCATCGCCCCTGCGCCCCCTTCCCACCTCGTTTCCCCTCCTCAGCCAACAGTCATCACCCACGCCTCCGTATCCCATGCGTCCGTCATCCAAGCCGTCAACCACGTCATCCCAGCTGGGCCTAAACATCTGGCGCACATTGCGCCCTCTAACGGTGGCCAGCCTATTGGACACATCACCGTGCATCCTGTGGCCCACCTCCCCGCGGCCATTTACCCGCAGTCAGTAGCAGTCTCGCAGCCGGCGATGGTGGGGCACATCACACATACATTGGCGCACCACCCACACTCTCACGCCCAAGTTAACGGCACACCAGTTACAGGCCAGCAGGCCACCATGGTGGGAAAGCCAACGGCCGTGGTCGCTCACCATCACACCGGGCTGGTGAGCCAGACAGTGCTCAATCCGGTGACTATGGTAACTGTTCCTCCTTTTCCCGTCAGCACGCTAAAGCTGGCCTGAGAGAAAAGAGAGGACTTCCATGAAAGGAGGTCTCACAAAGTGAGAGCAAGAGAGACTAAAGATGAAGAGCTAATTTCTAAAAGGATGACTAGATCTCGTTCAGAAATTCACTACTGTCGCTCCTACACGCCGGGACTTCATCAGGATCGGAGCGTATCCTCTTTTGCTTGTAGAAGGGGCTTGCGTGTCTTTTGCGTGTCTAGCGCTGGAAAGAAATTCATGTAATGCACTTGCTTAACTAGATTCGAAGACATTGGTCAGTCTTTAGTAATGTGAGAGTGGAGTGCTAAAACAAATCAATTATTTCTTCTTTCCCTCATATCCTTTTTTCTGTATGCAAATTATCACACGCTTTACATTCATTCACCAAAAAAATCTCCACTAATCAAAAATGAGTGCTTAAAGCTCAGTACTGAAAGCATGCGGGAAAAAAACGTTTACTGTGTGACTATTTTAGGGGCATTTAAAACTCGTCAAACGGGGCTTTTGACTAAAAAAAAGTCAAGTCTTCAGCCAGATCAGGTTACTCAAAGTGTCTCTGTACTTGCTAGGAAATGTTAAGTGCCTAAGCCCCAATTCAAGCCCAGTGGCGCCACCTGCTGCCTACGCAATTTTTGCTGAATATGAAGCGCAAGCGTATTAGAGTGCCACGACTTGACCTGCAGTCACAGGCATCTGTTGGCAATCAAGAAACTCAAAGTCTTAAAAGTGTCGAGGTGAATGGGTTGTGAGGAAACTCGACTAATGTACAATTCAACATCTGAGAAAGACATGAATTTGAAAGTACATTAAAGCATTCATAACTTGCAGCAAGTGCACAGATATTTAACCTAACAATATTTCGTAATACTTGATTAACGTTTCGAATGATTAAAAACGTTACGTACGGCGCGTGACAGGGCGCTGCGGTGTCGGGCATTTCCGTTTCTTCAAAACAGCAGTTACCAATGTTCTCGTGCTTGTAGCAACACGATGAAGAACGTCGAATGAAGTCTTAGAAAATACATTAACGTTAATCTATCTTTTTCATCACGCGCACGTTCATAGATGAACCATAGATGTTTTCATAGAAGCGCCTGCCCTTCCAGTGTAGATCGGTGCTGTTGTGTCCATTTTACGTTCATTGCCGCTCAACCATTTTTCATTATTATGTGTGATTGTGTAAATTGTCGTGAGGTAGGCACTTGTTTATGAGTATTTTAGGAGGTTGACATCAGGACAAAAAGCCCCTTTGCCAATAGCAGTGCTTCTTTAAAAGTCGGCCTGTCATTCTCAATACACTTGCTTGATTGAACCTGCACAAAGTTAGCCATCTGACCGTTTCCCTATGTAAGCTTAATGGTTTGCTGTCGATGGTTAGGTACACCACGTTGTTGCTTTATACTGTCACTTTCAAATGGAACACTGTGATTCCTGCTGCAACCCCCACCCCACCCCACCCCACCCAAAATCGAGGTTTGGATTTTCTGTTTGACTTCTTTTTCGGGATGTGAAGATGGAAATGCACACATGCTGTGCTTCACACTCAGTTAAAAAACAAACAAACAAAAAAAAATAGCCTAACCGTTGTGGAATTTATTAGTGCGTTTTGTTTTTCATTATTTTAAATATATGTGTATGGATGGATGTATGTATATATGTGAGGTATATGCACGCATTCACATATGTGTATTTTAGGATCATACTGATGCTTGGTTTTGCATGTAGATTGCAGTTTTTGTTTGTTTGTTTAAATGTTAATCCCTCCCCTTATTTCATTTTTTGGGACCATGTATTATACTGTATGATGTGGGCGGGACCGTTAGACCTCATTCTACATTGATATTATATATAAATATATGAAAAACTGCATTTTCCCTATGGAGAAAGTTTAAGTTATATATCGCCTGTACATTCTGGGCTGCATTAATATTGAATTGTCCACCATGTTTAACTGAAATAGTAATAAAACTTATTAAAATATGCTAGATTACTACAAAAAAACAAAACATTGACGATTCATAATAAATCTTATGACATTTACTAGTCAAGTTGTATTGTTCTTATTTCTTGTGTATCACAACAGTCATATTTACATTAAATCTAAAATATGACTGTTTATGTAGATGTATTCCATACCTTTTCAGATAGGACACATTCCTTCAAACACCTACATTCACAAGATGCATACATTTTACTGTTAATTATATTTACTTATTATATTATTAGATTATAGATTATATTCACCGCGATTTTTTGCATCTTAAACCTTTGACATTTCAAGCCATATTTCTATTGTAAACACGTTTAAATTAATTGATTAGTCTGTCTTAATATCCGTGATGCATCTGCTCCTGAATCCTTTCCAGAACTTCCTGCATTCGGCGCAACTGCAGAAGGAAAGAGTAAAAAAAAAAATTTTTTTTTAATGCACAATTACAATATCAGGAGAGACTTAAACATTGGCTTTATTGAAATATGCTTACATACTAATCCTACTATTGTTGCAGCATACATACTGTACACAGTATGCAAATCAGACTGAAAACTCTAATTTACAAATTAATAATTTTTATTTAATTGGATCACACCGTTAAAAATGCATTTTAATACAAAAATTAACTGAAAATGCAAAATAAAATGTAATGCTAAATTATTTTCTAAATTCATAACTGGATGCCACTTAACGTGATGAGGACTGAATTTGAAATGGCATACTAGCGTTCCACTCTTACAGAGTGACGCAAATGACATGCAAGGGGAAAACTACATTTTCATTCCCACATTGTACAATTTTCCCCCTCATTTCAGTTAAATTAAAACAAGGGAATGTGTTACTACAACATTGCCAACGATTAAACAAGAGAATGAATAAATAAAATGAATTTACAATTTGTGTGTCATGTCGTGTGGGGCACCGTACATTCTTTCTACTTCTGCCATATTTTAATATGGCAGATATAGTAAGAGTAGTATTGTAATACACTATTCTGAAGCCTAGGTCATTTGACAACAATGTGGTAAATACCTATACTTTCACTTAATAAAAAAAATAATAATAAATAGTAGTTAGTATATTGTGGATGGTAAGTTAGTGTCCATTCCAAATGTGCACTGAATCCATTCTGAAGAGAATGAAGACATTATATGGTCTAATTAAAATTATCTAGATAAAAAAATAAATAAAAGAAAACTGTATTACCTCTTCATCTTTCTCCCAAATAAGGCGCTCAGTCTCACCGTCCACAGGCATCAGAGGCACAGGAAGGTCTGAGGCGCTGTCTCTTAGCCGGTTACACAGACTGGATGAATACAACCAATGAAACAGTAACAAACCACACAGGAAGGTCAGTGATGGCATGATGATCAAGAATAAGCACACCAATAATTTGCACTGCAGAATATAGTCTGATGTTATCATCTGATGACGTCAGTTTATCCTCTGACCTGCGTTTCCTCTCCTTGACCACCATGCGGGTCATATTCTGGATGCACTGAGCACGGTAATTCTCGTAATGCGTTTCCCGTGTCACATCCTTCAGGTCTTGCATGTGCGTGCGCACCAACATGTTCCTCAGCTTCAGGAAGTCGGAGTGAACAGGGTTCTCCACTGCAAGAGTCGAGTCAACTTAAATTGATTTTGAATAGTGCTTTACACAATACACATTGTTTCAAAGCAAATTTACATAAAATCTGAAATTTCATAATGGCAACAATTCAAGCAATCGACCAGTTGAGATATGCTATATTGTATATAGCATATCATCCTACGTGAGTGTATACTAATAAAGTTGGACATATTTTTATATGCAATTGTATAGAGGGCTAGGCGATAATAATTACATTTTGCGATAAAAAACAAAATCAAGCAGCTGAGATTTACTATACTGTATATATCACTTTACATGAATGTACTGTACAGTAGTGATGGGCACTTTCAAAATACTGCTTCATGAAGCTTCGAAACCTTTATGAATCTTTTGTTTTGAATCATTGGTTTTGAGCATAGATTGTAAAAAAATATGGATGACGCACATTCACTCTCTTCCATTGAAGAAAAGTGAAGCCGCCAGTGTCCCAGTGCTGATTTACTGATTTGGGACCAGAGTCTATGCAGTAGTGAACTCGGAACCCGAGTCTGCGCAGTAGTGAACAAAGTGGAGCCGAGGTATCAAGGCCCTGCCCACACTCCAATAGAGTCGATCGGAAGCACACGCCCCTGGACCTTTTTTTAAGTAGCTGGACTTCTCCAATTGTGATGTCTGCTGATGGCAGTAAATGTAGAAATTAAAATTATAGCTCCGTTCTCCTCCTGAAGATCCCCAAAAAAAGTTTGTTGGCACATCGGTTCGCGTAGAGAAGCTATCAATCATGACGTCACACTCCCGTTTTTATAGCATCAAATAACTAACTAAAGCCAAACTTATTTAAAAAACTAACTTGAGCTTATCAGTGTGATAAAAGCTACTTAAAATGACAAAAAAATATTTTTGGGGGAAAAAATTTGAAATACAGAGTTCTGGCATGAAACTCTAGATGGCGCAAGTCCAATAGATCCAACTCAAGCTGACCTAATGACATCATTATCACATAGCACAGCTGATTGGTTCGCTTCTGTATCGGTAGCCAATGAGCTTCCTGCTCAACATTCAAATATATGACTAGTGCTTGCCGTAACAGTGCAGCTTGATTCAGAAACCCTCCACCTTCCCCAGCTCCACCTGAATAGATCTGTTACGAGGTGATTCATGTATGCTATATGGGGGTTATTTCATGTACGTTATATTTGCAGCAGCAATATTTCTTACATGCTCACAGCAGCATGTTGTGGATGTATTGGCAGTAGCAAGTCTCTGTACTTGCTCTGCCGCAGCAGCAGCAGCGTAGCAGATCTATTCCGCCAAGACCAAATACATTAACATTGTCATGTACATTACCATGCCAATCCCTCCGAGAGTTGTCATGACAGAAGTGTATTTTGATTGTTTAGTTTGTCTCTCTCACGTTCCATTAGATTACATGGAGAGGGTGGGGTTTATGACCTATATTGGGTCCACCCACCTGGGGCGATCGAAACGTTTTGGACTTCACTTTTCAGGACTTGTGCGACACACTTGGTTTGGTGTGCATATCATACTGCCAAAGTCATGTGATTTCAGTAAACGAGGCTGTTTCGAAACAAAAAATTGAACAAAATTGTTTCGACATTTCAATGGTTCACCACTGGGGGTGAGCTCTGTGAACCCATGAATCATGTGAGATCACTGAGATCGCCTCTCAGTAGCGAACCATTGAATGAGTGTCTATATTTTACCTGATTTCATTTCAGTTTTATGAATTTGTAGAAATTTTAAGAGGCATTTGTATAATTTAAAGGAGTTATAGTAGTTAATAGTCTCTTATAGGCCCGTATAGATGAGCCATCCATAGAACAAACAAAAACAAGCCCTGAAAATTGATAAAAGAACATACTTAATATTTCATGGTAATTTAATGGATGGTTAATTAATTTGCTGTTTTTATGCATGTTTGGCCATGTTTGGAGTTTTTGTTGCATTTACACAGTTTTGACCAGCAGGCATCACCAGCGTGTGGCGTTTCATCATGTGGTGTAACCATCAAGTAATAATGATATACATGTCCACATCTTAAATTTCACTTCTTTATTAAAATGTTTTTTTAATGTTTTTTTCAAGGTAAACCAATTGTTTTAACAAATATTATGAAATATATATATTTTTGTGGGGGGGTATAAACTATATAAAATAATCATCTTGAACAGTTAAGGTTGCGATATAACAGAAGTAGCTACAGATCTTTTCTACTGTATTGTGATTTTTTCTTTTTTTTTGTATTTGTGTAATGAATTGTGATTGGCTTTTTCTTTCTTCCCTCTAATTAAAGATCTATAGCCATATTAATGTCAAATAGACAAACACTATAAACCTTAACGCTCAAAATAATTAATTGGTTTGAGTAGGGCAAACTTAAATTAAACGAATTAGTTCAATCAAATGAACTTTTATGAATATTTAAAACTTTTTTTTTCTTTTAAGTTCATGAAACTGACGCATTTTAAGCAATCTGAATTGTTTAATTGTTTTGAGTTTAATGAACTACTTACTTTTAATTTAGAAATTTTAATTTAACTGAAACTGGGCTGGGATTTCTACTTTTTTTTATGAGTTAGCTAGTTATAGTTAAGTTTCCACTACTAAAACTATTTTAGATTACATTTTAAGTTAATAATTTTAAGTTAAACACATGAGTTAGCTTACTTAAATATTTCAAGTTAAGAGCATTAACATGAGAGTACAAAATAAAAAAATCTGCTTGTTCTGCTTACTTAAACTTGAACTTATTAAACTGAATTTCTTGATTTAAATTTTTTATTTAACATTACCTATTTTTAGTTTTGCCAACTTATTCAGGTTTACAGTGAATTACAAAAACGTGTGAGAAAAAGACTGAAATTTATATCAATATTCATTGCTAATCTTTCTATTCGTTTCGAGCTCGACAGACCCCATTTACTTTCATTAGCTATATGGAAATGTATTGGAATTATTACAAGAGTAGGCAAAAAATCCTAAGTGGTGTTTAATCATCCACATTAATTTATTATCAATTCTCTCAGTTATTCACCTTCATGTTTTCCAGACCCATTCATGAAACACCAAAAGCGATGTAGGCAGAATGTACCGACTACTTATTTCCATACTATTAAAGTGAATGGGGGGCTGTCGAACTCCAATTTTCATTTATGAGCAAACTACTCATTTAACAAACCATTTTTCTGACCTAATTACATGCTTAATCAGAACAAAATCACACCATCACATTGCTAAAGAAGAAAAGAACAGAACACACTCAACAGGTCTGAAAGACACAAGAAAAACGTTCCTTAGGGGAAACCGAGTGTATAGTTGTAACATGGGGAGAGTTGTAACAACACCAATTCCACCAATCAGGGATAAACTAGATAAGCCATGATAATTTCATTATTTACCCACTTCCTCCCAGATCATATGAATGGTTTTCAAGGCTATAAATAGGTACATGCAGATTTATAATATATATATATTTTTTTTTTTTCGATTTTGAGGTAAGAACAGGGCCGTTTCTAGGCATAGGTGAGCTAGGCAGTCGCCTGGGGCGCCACCAGCTGAAGGGGCGCCAATGAGCGCACGTACTGGCACTTTAGCAGGGTTGTGATAAAGAGTGGCATGGTCACCCTGAAATATGACTGCTGCCCCCACTGGATCCCCCAACATTATTGGGCTAGAGTCCTGTCAATCTGACGATGCCTGTATGCCACTAGATCAGAGTGCTGTCAATTGCTGCCTGATTGTTGCATGCAAAGTTTGCATTTGGAGTGCTCAACAACGCCATTAGATCAGTGGGCTCTGTCAGTGCTTTGGCAAGGTAACACTTTTTTTTTTGCCATGCAATAAAGCTAAGTTCAAATGCCAATTAAAAATATTGGTACAGTAAATAAAGTGCACAAAATCAGTATTTTGTTTAGGCAGTATTTGTGGCACTTTTGTCCAAATATTTGTGGCAGATTCATCCAAAAGGTGTGCGTGTTTTGCGCCAATGCATTGTTAAAGGATCAGCGTGTCATGTAATATTCCCATATAAACTTTAACATCCAATTAAAAAATATTTGTATAGTAAAATTCACGAGATCAATACATCCTTTATTAGACCGCTTTGTCGAGTTAAATGCATCCTTACGGAGGTGTCGAAATGCTGAATCAATTCATTCACTTCCAACAGCGCTTAATGGGAGCAGCGTCATAGAGTGCAGAGCATCACGTTATTTAAAGTGGACGCTAACGCGTTAACGAGTAGCAAATGATTAAGTAGCTGCATTGGTTAATTTTATGCCACTGATAAAGCTTTTATATGTAGTTTGGGGTAACAAAGGGGTTTTATAGGTTTGACTGAAATAATGCTGCAATAACTGACACTTTAAATCAATGTTTCAAGAAGAAACAACAAAACAAATTGAACAAAAAACAGATAAAGACAAAAAAGTAGCCATTGATCATATCTAAACAATATGTAGTAGTATAGTATCCAAATCAAAATGTAATAAAATTAATTTATGTGTGATTTATGTGTAAATTATGTGCAATGTCTTAGCCACTAGGGATTGTTACATAGGGCTATACAGGCATCTAGTGGCAACACTAAGATTTTACAGATTCTAAATTGTGCAAAATGTTTATCTTAACAGTCAATTTACAAATAATGCATTCAGATTTGTGGAACTCAATGCACTGAATCTCCACAAATTAGTGTTGTTACTATGACACTATACTATGTGTATGGTGTCACTATACTACGTTACTATGACACATGTACATATATATATATATATATATATATCACCTAGGGCATCAAATTGGCTAGAAACGGCCCTGGGTAAGAATATAAATGTTTTACCAAAGCTATATTTTGTTTAGTACTTAAACTGTTGCAGATAAAACCATATAACTTACATTAGAATAAATTGTGGATTCTCAGGCTAAATGTGATGCATTTTTAACCTGCTAATTTCAAACCATTATGCAAATACAGCTAGCTAAAACACTGGATGACAGG